CTGTTTACATGCTGACATTCCCCTTTGACATCACTTCCTGTTTCTTCACATGCAAACATCTCAACCGTTCTTCTCAGCAACGTGAAATTTGTTTTGCAACATGTTATAAATGTTATCTTTCCAAAAATGTGTTCATGTTTATTACAAAAAATTTTATGTCTCAGCACTTTAAATCACTACCAAATAATCTCAAAAAGCAGAAATATAGCTTAGACCTGGCTACTTTGCACATTTATAACTACGAAATGGTCTATCATGGTTTAATATAAGGACTTGTGATCCTGGAGCCAAAGATGTATCATCAAAAACCGCCTTCCATTAGTTTTCCAATAACTGTCTACATTCAATGAAAATAAAACAAAAAACAAACAAAAGAACAGGGACAACCTTCACAAACAAAAAAACTTTATTGGAGAATACCAACAGATGTTGATGCAGTAAACTTCACAATGCAGAAATGTATATTTATATATAATGCAATCCTACATACTAAGTTAGTGCTTAAAGACTTCACCGTTCATGATCTTCCACTTTAACAGAAGTCACACTATATATTTATATGTGTATATATGTCAAGAATAAACAGTTCAATAAATAAGAAAGCATTCCACTAACACAACAATTCTGTCATAATTGTGTGAACACTATATATATCTATAATGTTTTTGTTTGTTTAGAGTTGTATTAAACTCAGTAAAAGGAATGAACAGTTGAGGCATGAAGCAACACCGAAGAGCCGTACGGTGAACGTCAAATCTAAAAGTACAACCCCCGATTCCAAAAATGTTGGGTCTAATGTAAATAAAAACAGAACATAATGATTTACAAATCTCATAATCCCATATTTACTCACAATAGAACACTGTAAATAAGAAGTTTTTGCTAATTTTTTTTTTTTTTTTTTTTTTTTTTTTGACGTGGAAAGAGCGACCAAAGAAAACCGAAACAGGACAGATCCAGATGTCCGGTGTCTGCCCTGAGCTAAGATTGTTCAGAGTTACAAATAAAGTCATTGTGCGAAAGTATTTTAAATTTCTATAGTAATAATTTGACATATTACGTCCAAAAGCCATCAGGAAGGACTTCACGCTGGTAAACACGGCTGTGTTTTAAAATCTTAGAGATGTGCTGCTGCCATAATGTTCCAAATTATTAGTTAGTTCCAAGTTTATCCTCTTTCACCAAAAATTTTGCTTCACTAACACATAAACTTATAAAATATAGCTTTGGTAAACGTTAAAAAAAATTAGCAGAAGCTAACAGCTAATTGCTAACCGTTAAGACAACTGTCACTCATTCTGCGTCACACTTCGTCTCGTCCGAGGTAAAAACTGATGGGACTGACACAAACCTGTTAGTTAGCTGTTAGCAGACTTAAAGTTGGCAAAACCTAATTTAGTGGACGCAAACGCTCAACAAGTAAAAATTATCGGAACCTAACACAAACAGCTAACTGCTAAAAGAAGAAGCTAATCGTTCTGCTAACGGTTTTCAAAGTTAGTGATAAAGCTAATCCGCCGAATTAAAAATTAGCTCTGCTATTAGCTGTTAGCGGAACCACGCCCACCACTTGTTCCATTCTAAATAAAACATAGGTTATGTGAAAATTGCTAATCATAGCATTCTGCTTTTATTTACATTTAGACGTTCCAACATTTAAGGAGTTGGGGCGGTACGATCAGACGATAAGGTCATTCAGTTTGTTCAGTTTTGTAAATAACACACAAACTGTGAGGAGACACTTTAATGTCCCAAAAATAATTACGATCCACCAAGGTGACAATGTTTGCAATAACCGTGTAAAAAAAWAATAATAAAAATGGCAACACACTTCATTAGGCTTTTAGTGAGAAATGCACTGAAACACACACAAATACACAAGTTTGAAACTACAYGAAAGGGAACAAACCCTCCACGTTGCTAAATCACAATGTTTGCTTTTACTACACCTGGAGATCGAGGCAATTCTGGGTATTTATGGCCATAATTTAGAAATTCGTGTAAAGAAATTGAGCGATATTTCAAGTGCTTTGTTTTGTTTCTGAGTTCCTGTTGGCTTTATGACAGCATCTTTTAGTAAATGTGAGCTACTGCGCACGACATCATCAAGCCTTTATGAAAGCCATTAAACCAAGGACACTGCAGCTTTCCCTGTTGTCTTTGTCTCATCTCATATCGATCGGGCTTTCACAGCTGTATTTAACAATCAGCCACAGACAAATTAAACACGTCCTTAAAAAAAACAATGTAAACAATGTTAATACAAAACAAATTAAACAATTTAAATAAAAAAAACACAAAAAAATTGGCAATATTGCCTTCTCTTTTCTCACCAACAAGGCAGCATGAAATTGATATTTACTGTACCATTTGCATTTTAACTGGTTTGGCAGCACTTGATTGCGTTAAGTAGAAAGTGAAATCAATAAAA